CTGTGCGAGAGGGAGATAGCGGCAGGCGGAGAGAGAGAGAGCTCCCTTGGGGTTCGAGTTCGGGGGGCGAAGGTGGATCCCAAACACATGTGCCACTCTTATACGCAGACAGCAGCAGCTGATGCAGCATTTCATTATAAGAGTTCGGTTGCCATGCCATGCTCATTATATACGCCTTGTTTTGTTTGGTTTTGTTTTGGTTTTTGTTGGCTGTACTGTACCCTATATGCCACATACTGCCATTCAGTACCAGTACACTGCTACATCATCTCATGCCCATGTGGACGATGCGTCGCCTTGCTCTCTGTCACAAGTTCACTTTGCTCGCGAGTTCAATGCAAGCAAACTAGTTTTGCTGCCATTTGTTATGTTTTTCTCTTGTGGTGGCTAGCACGTGCTGCTTCTTCTCGCTTTCAAACAATGCATTTGGAAACCCGTCCATAAACTCAATAGCCGCAAGTGATAAACGAAATCGTTTAGCGGGGGGCACTTAAGCCAGGCTTTTACACGGAGCAAAAGCAGAGTGGTTTTAACATGCAGCAAAAACAGCGTGGTTTTTACACGGAGCAAAAACAGCGTTGCTTTTACATCGCACAGATATGTGACAAAATTTCCGTGACTAACAGCTTAGTCAGCTAGAACTACTCATGTTAATTGGTCACCATTTTGGGTCACTACATGGGATTCTTTCAATAATATTCTAAAATTCGTGTACAAGTAAATTCGAAATCTATTCTAGTACTTAGGTGTATTTTTGGTGAGTGTACTTGTGGCACTACCAACTTACTCATACATGGCATCCACGAGATCGCGCTCCCAGGTCATCAGACGCTTCATTATGGCCAAAAGGAATTTCGTGGTGTTGTATAGTTTGGACTTGAGGATACCGATTTGGCTTTGGCTTTTCGGGATTTGCACTGGCACGCGCTGCTGCGTTGTGTAACGTGTATAATGCTATGTAAATTTGCTGTTTCTGTCGCGGTTCGGGGATCTCTGTTTGGCTTTTATGCGATGGCAGCGACTGAAATGTAACGGCAACAGCGACGTCGGCAGAGATGTTCAGTTGACAGCTCCTCCACCGGGCGGCAACAACAACGTAGGGAAACGAAACTGTTCGCGGCAGCCTTGGCAACAATTGTTGTTGTTGTTATTATTTATAATGTGGCTTTGTAGTTGCTGTTATTACAATTATGACGATTGAAAACAAAAGATTCGAGCACTTTTCAGATTAACTTTAATACTGTTGGCAAAGCGGATGACGTTATCGTTGGATAAACTCGTGTGTGAGGCAGGTTTCGGTTGCGGGTTTTTATTTGTGCGAACTTTTTTTATGAATTTTCGATATTAATGAGGTGTTTCTCTCCCTTTTTTTTTTTGTTGTTGTTGTTGGAGTGGTGCTCTTTATCACAAATGCGTTCTTTTTGTGGTGGGAAAGGCAAATATGGTTTTTATTTTGAAGTAAACAAAGGCGAGCATAATTCGTTTTACGAACAAATCGCTGCAGAGAGCGGTTGCACAGTTAGTTGCGAGTTAAAGTGACACTTTGTGGCTAACGGTGAACGGTTAGCGATGACAGAACTGTTTCTAACGGTGTCTCTTCTACCACTGCGCCAATTGTGGCACGAAATGCGTTTAAGTAGCTCCGTGCTCCGTGCCTCTCTTTTTTGGGGATCTTGCAACGCGAGAGAGCGGAGAGAGAGAGAGGAGAGCGGGGAGAGCGAGCGAGAGCGCGGCGCAGGTGTATACCTTTCTGCGAAGACGGCTGAACTCAAACTGAAACGTTCGGTTGACAGCTTTGTTGCTTTTTATTATTTTGAGTCTAAAGTGGAAGACGCGATAGCAGCAATGCGGCAGAGCAGAAGCAGCGGCGAAGCAAAGCAAAGCAAACACACACAGAGTGACAACAGCGTGTTGCTAAAATCACACATACGCCCGGTTGGCAAACACTCTCGAGCATGAAATACAACAGCTGATAAACTCAGCTCATTTCTTTTGTTGTGAGAGATTAACGTAAGGAGCACGCGAGAGAGGGAGAGGAGCGCAAACAGGAAGAACTCTCCTGGTGCACGGAAAAAAACGAAAACTCTGTGCTTATACCATGTTCGAAAAACTTTATTTTCTGCACATTTTGCAACTATAGCTGTTAAATTGGTTTGGCTATGTGATGTTTCGCAGTAATTGAAATATTAAAAGGCTATCATCGCACTTTTCGCGCACTGTAGCAACTTAATTCGCCCTTAAATCAGGCACTTAACGTCCCGAATTCGCCGCGTGTCCATAAACAGTTACATCGCCTGACAGCCGATCGTTTTAATAAATCGCCAGGGACAAAAGACACTTAAACAATATTCATAAGTCGGAAACTGGCGGGCAGGGTAAGTACATATGTACGACTACGAGTGACAATCAAGTTTTAAGATTTCGCCAATTAGCGCGCATAAAACTCAATTTATAACTGCAGTTTCATTAGTGCCCACAATGTGGACATGTGTGTAAATATTTATGCATACCATCAGACACTGAAATACTAATATCTGCACGTCTGTATAAATATGTGTATATTAGCCACGATATGCGATAATCAAATCGAGCACGCCTGCTTATTCAATCACAATTGGTTAGGTGATTAGCGGCCATCGGGAGAGACTCCGTCGTATCTCTGGTCACCAGAAATAGATTCCCCATGGTGCATGTGACTCCGGGTCTCCTGACGAACATCCCGCTGAAAAGCTACGTTTGCATTTGCTACTAATTTATTGCCGCCTCTCGATTGCCTGATACTTGATATCAGCGCTACGACTTTGCACACGACCAACTTGTAGCCTTTCCAATCACCTGGTGGACTCATGGACAAGTCAACAGATGGCTCAAGCCATCAAGCACCCTCTGCTCTCTTCAATTAAGCTCAAGGATCAAGTGGTGCTGATTGTGCCTGGCAATCCTTTCAGCAGATATCATTTCATAGCGTTGCCCTGCGACAGAAGTTACGTCTTGAGCTTCTACTTTGTACTTCCTCACATGATAAGAAATATACCCATATTTCTCATATCACGTCAATTAATTTTCAAAAAGTCATCTGTGAGGTATTACAAAACTTGAGTGATTAGAATGAGTTGAGATAATAGTCTACGGTAGTAAATTGCACGTGGCATAGGTAGCACTACTTTTTTATAAAATAACATAATGGTATTAGGTAGATTCTATAAGAAAGTTACCAGACAGAACCTTAAACTGCTAGCAATATTCTGTGGTACAGTCTGAGTGTTACAATGTTACCCCTCATTTTGCTAATTGTAGTGGGTTCCGTCCATCTAAATGTTAAGTGCGAGTACTTAGAACTGCTTGTAAAACGATTAAGTAATTCCATTTCTTTCCGCGGATCAATTTACAGCGTATGGGCGATAATTGACCGTTCGAATCTTGCCCCACCCACTGCCAAGTAGCCACAATCATCGGGTCGTTGAGCGGTGATTCCACGGCGACTTATCGAATGGATCTATCATCATAAAATAATTAATTTCCCTGAATCGTGAGCAATCGGCTGTATTCGCGCGGACAGGCTGGAGTGGCGCACGATCGGCGACTATTGGCAAATATTGGCCAAAATCAATTGGCGGAAATGAGGCAAAAATCAATCATACGCACCGTGCGCCGCAGACAAAGATTGCGCTCAGCAAAAGAAAGTGTGTCGAATTGTGCCGCAGGGCATTCATATCAGCATCGAAAGCACTCAATATCTATTTATAGAGGGTGTGTCCGTGAGTAGCAAGCATAATTCTTGGCATCCACATAGGAAATTCCCGCGGATTCTCGGTTCTGGCATTTGGCCAGAAGCGCACAAAATGAGTGTAAGCCTTAGCGGCCGGCCGCCAAGCAGTTAACACGTTTCTAATTAACTTATGGGCAAGTGAATTAGTGGATTGCCACATCGAAATCGAGAATTCGAGGCTCCGCGGCGGCGCATTATGCAAATTTATGTCAAGGCAGGGGCAGGTGCAAGTCGTTGACTCTGGGCACTCAGCTATAGCTTCTCTGGGAGAACGTTCTTATGAACCGAGTGGAGTTTGCCGCGGCTTTAATGCTTGGTAAACAGACACATGCGTAATGTCAGGGGCGTTCATTTCGGCACGGGTAGTACACGGTACACAGCTACCGAGTCTCTATTCCCAATTAAGGCAGCCAGCATCTGAATCAGTATCTCCACACACATGCCACTGTATCACTGTATCTAAATCGCACGCTGAGCCAGAATCAACAGGCGGAAATAATATTTAATTGTCCACCCACTGGCGGTGCTCAAATCAAAATAATTCAATTTTGTCATTTCAGGCAATCAAGTCAAAAGGTTTATCTCGCTCCACTGACTCGATTCTCGGTTCTCGATTCTCGGTTCTCGGTTCTCAGTTCTCCATTCTCAGCTGACCAACAGACGTCACCTCCATTTGCATATGAAAATCACACATAAAATAGATTCTTGAGAAAAAGGCCGCAAAATTCAGTCAGGGGGAAGTGCAGCCAATGCTGTTTGTTTACCGACAAACACATTGCCATCGAGGTGTGTGGGATACGATTAAGTGGATATGTTCGTATTTGTGGTCTTGCATGACTGCAAGTTCTTGGAAATTTCCAGTAAAATACAAAATATTTCTGATGGCTTACTTATGTAGAGCACTGCTTTGATCTTGCACCACAAAGAGCTTCTTAAAATCAGTTACACGACTGACTTGCACCGTGGAATGAGCTATTGGTCCACAAAGGATACTCAGAAACATTCCATTGGATTATTCCATCAGCTTAAGTTCAAAATGAGGTAATGAAAAAGTTCCTACATAGTAAATTAGTTTGCTAATAAGGTGGCCTAAAATGAGCGTAGCTTTTGTTGCCAAGAGCTTATGAAAGACCCCCTTGTTTCATACATAGCTCCCAACACGGCGTATGAGTAATGAAATATTACTCATACGCCCAGTTGGCCATCGCTTCAGAGATCTTATCTCACTCACCTGGTAAGTGGGCCGGGCGATTCGCTAACCGCCTTTATGGATCGCCGGATTTGCCGGTGGAAGCTGCCCAAGATGGACTCCTTGCGGGAAAGTTGGGTTCCACTGCCGCTGGACTCGCCGCCCGTGGAATTGATGTTGGAGGCATAGGTCGAGGTACGCTTGTAGGTATCCTCCAGGCACACGGCACTCTGCTCCCCCGGAACCACCGGATTGGCGGTTGCCACCAGTTGATCCACATTGAGGGGCGTCGTCTCCTTGGCGTCGTTGTTATTGCCACTGCTGCTGTTCATCTTGACTATGATGGCCTTCTCCTTCTCCTTCTCCTCGGGCAGTAGCTTGGCCCAGGCATTCTCGCCCACCAGTTCCGATTTATCCACTATCATTTTTGGCATTGACTAGTTACGGCTAATAGTTTAAACTGACTGGCTGCGCTGCGATTTCTTTGGTATGTATCTAGATTAGTCGCCGACTTGGGGAGAATTATTCGTTATAAGGGAAAATTTGAATAGCTGTTGAGGGCGCGTTTCTTTTGCAGTCTGGAAAAGTGCGAGCCAATCATGGATGGTTCTTTGCTGGCGGCCACGTTGTTCTCTGCAACCGAAACGGAACACGAATTTCTTGGGTTAGATTTCAGTTTAAATGCACATGTGTGGGGTTCTGGATTCTAGCCTGGATATTATCACGCCGCCCGCCACTGATTATAAAGTTCACACTTTTCAGCGTTTTCATCTCGCTTTCCGCCCTAAAGTCTTTAACACACTTAACAAACTCCTAAAGTTTATTTCAATTTGTGGTTACAAAATCGTGTATTGTACGAACTGCGGTTTTCATTCATTATCGTTATCATTATTATCATCTCGTGTGGGGTGCCTCGTCTCGAATGGAACCAACTGGCGATTTGGAATTTGCTACCTAAATCAATCTAGTTTTCAATGGAATATTTTTGATCTGAAACTCTTTGCAGACGGTCATAATGAGTTTATGAGTACAAAATAATATAAAAATGTTCGCATATGTTACTAACCAAACAGCAACTCTCTACTATTTCTATTACTATTACTTTTATTACTGTGTTGTTACTACTGCTATCAGGTATCAAACCACATAAAATGAATCTCACATTTCGTATTTCTTTTTCTTGTTTGAAAAGCTTCAACTTTTATTTTTAAAAAATGCTCCAATCACTTAGTTATGTTTTGCTTAAGCAGCTGGAGCTCATGACACACTCAAAATTAATCAGCATAAATATTTGTTTAATCTCTAAACACAAATGCTGTTCAGTTCAGTTCAGTTCAAGTAATTTATACATTTATGTTGTTTTATATTTTTATTTCATATTTTTTCGCACTGATTATCCCGCTGTTTTCCCGCTGCGCTCAAACATTTTTAGAACAATTTTGGCTTACAATATTTGGCATTTAATAAAAAATTGCAAAATATACTGTCTCGTATTGTTTATAAATTTGTAGCCAAATGAGATGGCGACCGGAGCTTATGCTCATAAAATGTATGAGCGATAATTTGTTGTATGTTTTTGTTGGAATATTTCCATAATTTCATATTTCAGCGATAAGCCTTTTTGTTTGTTTTTTTTTATGCAAATTATATGAAGTCAACATTTTATTTTGGGGTTCTCTGGTGCGAGCGACCACAAACGGGAAGCACATAAAATAATAACAATGACAACACAAACCGTTTTCACTCGAGAGTTTCCCCAGAAAATTGGATTTCTTTTCTGTTATTATTATTATTTTTTTTTGTCAAAACTAAACCCACGCAAATGTTTGGATTTTTCGAATTTGACGCGAGTTCTTGAGTATCCACGAAACGGCCGCGACTTTCGTTCGAAACTTCGAAAATTTCGAACTGCCAACCGCGAAACGCGCGATTTTCGAGGTGGACCTGCTGTGGACGAGATGCGTTGGAGACTGGCGACTTATTTTGGTTTTGGTTTTGGTTTTCGTTTTGGATTTCGGTTTTCGGTTTTCGGTTTTCGGTTTTCTGATTTCGGACTCGTCTCGTCTGCTGCTCTGCTCGCGCACGCACGCGCACAACGTGGGAACAAAAGTGCGAGCAAAAAGGCTGGTGTGCGGGAGGGGACGGGGGGCGCTAACTGAAGAAGAGCTATTACCGTTTGTTTTTATTTAAATTATTATTTTTGTTGCTTTTGTTTCTGCGCCACCGTTGTGAGCGAGCGGCGTTCGCAAATTGACTTGGCGCTCGAGTGCGCGTTGCCCGTTTTATTATCCAAAGGCGAGCAGCAACAACAGACGCCGCAGCAGCAGCAGCCGGCGCCGCAGCAGCAGTAACACTCGCAGCAGCAGCAGCGGCAGCAGCAGGAACAACTACAACAACAAGCAACCGGTAGCGTCATCTAGCACACACAATTCTGTTTTCTTGTTGTTTTGTGTTGTGTTTTATCGAGTTGGCCAAACGAGGCGTCGCTGCTGCGTCGGCGCTCGCTGCTTGTTGCTTTTGCTTTCTGCGCTGCCGCCGTGCTTTTGCTTTGCTTTTGCTGTGCTTTACAGCATTGCCAAATCTGTCATAAGGTCGCGGGCAGCGCAGCGGCAGCGCTGTCGGCGAACAGATGTTGGCGCCATGTGATTGCCGGCAGAAGTTCCGCAGAGAAAGCGCGATGGAGGGGGTGGTGGTGAAGGGGTGAGGGCAACAGGTGGCGGTAATCCTTTAAGGCTTATTTAAGGAATTGAAGTTGTCTGCTGTGCTGGCAGCAGTGATGCCAATTTAGCCTTTTTCCGGAATAATCTGTTGGAACTCTGTTGGAACACTTAGTTATTGCCGCTTTTAATATTTGTTTAGGAAACATATTTTCTTGTAGCCCTATAATTCCCAACTAGTTCTAGTGAAGATTGTGGCATGTCTTCTAATTTAGAGTCACAAAATATTTCAAGTAATCCCTCTTACCGGTCGAGCAGTGAGTGTAGTGTATGTGTTCTTAATTGTGATTACTTGCAGATCACATTGGCATCCCTCTTGAACAAATAACCAGGCAAATGTTATTCATACAAGTGTTTGATATGCTATAATATTTATTTCAAAATATTTATTCATAAAAAATATTTCAAATACAATATAAAATTCTTGTTAAGAAATTGATTACCCTACACACTGAAAGGGATATATATTTTTATGTTTATTCGTATACAAAGCAGTGATGCCCATTTAGCCTTTTTCCGGACAGATCTGTCCAGTTTTTTGTCCTTTTTTGAAATTTTCAGCCTATTTTTTCCTTTTTTTCTCATTCTGTCCTTTTTTTCAGATAAATATTGGCATCACTGGCTGGCAGTGCGCAAAAGAAGATTGCTATCTGCGACAGGGACGTGGTCTGGACTTCTGCAAAAGGGGTGAGTAGCTGAAGGATGTCGCTTTAAGCCAGTTGAATCCCTATCCATGGGCCACTGCCGCCCGCTGCCAATCAATCAAATGGCAGCGGTGGCAGTATCGTAAACTGACAACAATGGTTTCGACCATAGTAACTCCTCCCGTGGAAAAGTGCTTGGTGATATATGGGCTTGTGATAAAACAATGTCAGCTGATGGTGTCGCCCACAATTTGCATCATAAATCCATCACTTTTGCCAGCACCTTCTCCCTGGCTTAACATCTCATTCGGATTTTAAGATGGAGAAGATAGTATGATACCTAACTGGCTAATGAATCTCCATTATCAACATGATCTATGCACGTACTAAGATTTGTGTACTTGTAATTGTAATATTGCTCTGCAACAATATTTACCCAACCTTTATATATTGCATTTTCTTGTAAAAACGCTTGGGTTTTTCCCATTTTTTTGTTTTCTTGCTTTCCCCAAGTGAGCATCTGTAGATGTGTTTGAACACACTTTACACCTGTGCAATTGTGCTCCAAGTTGAGCGAATGCAAACACAATCAGTGCAAAGTGCACGGTGTCACATGCCCACAATGGGTATGAATAGAAATGGAAATAGCCAGTGAATCATTGTGTATTCACTTTGGCTATCTATTCAAAGTGCTCACTGCAGATGCAAAGCGGCCATTACGATAAATGGGTAATTGAATAGGTGTCCGGAGAATCACGTTTGCAATTTCGGTTTCGGGTGTGTACATATATAATATATTATATAAGTACATAATGTAATAAGTTGACCGTGCCTAATTTAACCCCATAGAATGGTGCTTGTTAGCCCCATAGTATTTGATTTACGACTAATTTCGACTTACACAGCACGTGGCTGGGAGATCATTAAAGTGTTCGGTAAACAAAATGAAATTTTCGAAAAACAAATGGGATGTTAAACAGAATAATGACTTTCTGTTACGGCGAGTGCAATGAAAGCAAATAAAACGCAGCACTATAGATAATATTTATCCATTACAACACAACGTTTTATACCCGTTACTCGTTCAGTAAGAGGCTATACTAGATACGTTTAAAAGTTTGTAACAGGCAGAAGGAAGCGTTTCCGACCATATAAAGTATATGTATATATTCTTGATCAGGTTTAGAAGGTTTAGACTAAGCATGCCGCTTCTAGACACGTAGACGCATCGCAAGTTTTATTTTAAATGTTGCCACGTCCACTCTAAAATCTCCCAAGGCTGAAGTTCTCAAGTCCATAACTCAACTTATCTTAATCGGATTTTGAAGTGGCATACCTCTAAATGTTTCTGGAGCAGTTCTCTAAAGAACTGCATTCAAATTTAGAATTTTATTTTTTTTTAATTTTCTCGTCATTTTTCTGATGTTATGATGTTGTGGAAATTCAAAAATGTCCCAAGGTTGAAGTTCTAAAGTCCATAACTCAACTAATTTTAATCGGAATTTGAAGTGGGATACCTCTAAATGTTTGTGGAGCAATTCTCTAAAAAACTGCATTCAAATTTAGAATTTTAATTTTTTTTAATTTTTTTGTGATATTTCTGATGTTATGATGTTGTGGAAATTCAAAAACGTCCCTATGCTGAAGTTCTAAAGTCCATAACTCAACTAATTTTAATCGGATATTTAAGTGGGATACCTCTAAATGTTTCTGGAGCAATTCTCTAAAAAACTACATTCAAATTTAAAATTTTATTTTTTTTTCATTTTGTTGTCATTTTTCTGATGTTATGATGTTGTGGAAATTCAAAAATGTCCCAAGGTTGAAGCTCTAAAGTCCATAACTCAACTAATTTTAATCGGAATTTGAAGTGGGATACCTCTAAATGTTTGTGGAGCAATTCTCTAAAAAACTGCATTCAAATTTAGAATTTTAATTTTTTTTAACTAATTTTAATCGGATTTTGAAGTGGCATACCTCTAAATGTTTCTGGAGCAAATCCCTAAAAATCTGCATTCAAATTTGGAAATTTATAATTTTTCCAATTTTTTTGCACTTCCACCAGCTGAGTGACATCGCGGGTATCGGGGAACTCCACTATAGCATCTTGTTTATCTATCTTGTTTATTCTCAAGTGATTGTGTATAACATATTTTGTCTCTGTGCATTCTCTGATTTTATTCCTTAAAATTCCTTGAAATCGGCTTTCATAATATTCCATTACTAAGCCCAAAAATGCATTTTCGAGCAAACGCATAAACGCATCCCAATGCAACGTCTGATGACGTCAATGGCTTGATATATTTACCCCAAATTTGTTCTGCAAATGCGTATATAGAATGAAACCCACACAAGATTATATATTCGTTTTGGAATGCCACTGAAACTGCCCTGTCTAATAACTGGCACATTGCGGTGAATAAATGCTCAATTGCCTTAGATATAAATCTTGTTATATAATTGCGAGGAAAGGGAACACATTTACAGCCGGAAAATCAGTACTTCATGTGCCTGTGTGTGGGCGGCAAAGAACACGAACCAGTTTCAAGTGTGCCAATTAGGTATGCCATCTTAAGTCTCGACTCCCCCAAGAACTAGGTATTCCATTTGAGATCTGTGACATGTGCCCGAGTTGAGCACCACTTGTGTACACCGGGCATTAAATTGTATGAAAATGTATTTAGAAGTGCGTTGTGAAGCGTACTTAGAGAGTCATAGTAAATCGTATTCCAATGCGGAATCATAATGGCAAATAGCATTATATACCTTTGCTCTCTTCCCATTACCTTTACCTTTGACTAGCCAGTTTAGGAACTAATTTTTTCTGTGTAAGTGATGTAGATCTATTCGTATGCATCATCTTGCTTCGCAAGGTCATGATTAAAGGGGGGAAATTCATGAGCTGTTGTTGGGTAAGTCGCTCTCGAAGGAAACCATCAGCTAAATTGAATTATTTGCATGAGCAGAAACAGACACACGTGGCTGGCACACGTGGCTGTGCTTAGGGATAATGTGAGCATGGGAGTCCTGGTTTGGTCCTTCCAATTGAAAGTATTCCCACGACACGGACCTCTCGGCTTTGAATGGCCAAGTGCTGCTTCCACCATGGACGACGACCCAGTTGCGAGGACCAATTGCGGTTATTTTTAGCCAAGTTGCAGGTGCATTCAGGCCTTGGCTAGCTGCACTTGCCGCTGGCCAATAAATAATTACGGGCACGTACAGCGGATCTGCCTGATGAAGGTGGTGGCACTGGGTGGCATTGGGTGTGGGTAAGTTCTGCGGAGCCAACGCATGTCAATGTCATTGCGTGCCCGGCATGGAAAAATGGTTTTGACGTCCTTCGATGACCTCTGGCCGGCCAATGAACTGCAGATTGCATGACACAGTGCCAGCACAAAAGTGGGCTAACCGCCATTTGCATGCCAACCTGGCCAGAAGTGACCTAGGATGCGTTTGGAGCCCCAGCGAAAATCCTTCTGCAGTCGGTACGTGCCGCAGCTGCAAGGAAACCACACAAGGCTCACCTCGGCCAGAAATAAGTCAAAGTATATAAATAGAATAGAGAAGTCCGCAGATTTATTGGCCAAACAAAAGAGTAAGCCATCAAAATTAATTGCGCACTAGGATGCGTTTTTTGTGGGGCAATTTAGATGTCTTAGGTTCAATCTATACAATCATTGCGCCTTGAAGCAGGCAATAGTTTTTTGTAATATGCTTATCCATAATTTATCGATTGTCTGTATGTATTATTACGACATTAATTACTACAAATTAAATAAGTTCACCCAGTTACAAAACAATGTATTGTGTCCGATTAGCAACTTCCGTCAAAGGTACTTTCGTTTACTAGCCCTGTTTCTTCGAATCTCAAGTCCTTTCGACTGATATCAGCTGATAGTAGCTGATATTGTGTGACGTTAATGGCCAGTCTCTGCAAGTCGACGAACTGCGCCTAATTAGCTGCCAATGGGCGCCGGACCGGCCAAATCCCAAGCCCTCTAACCAAACTTATCTGGAGTGCGCTATTTCGCCTTGTGACTTAGCGGTCACTTTAATGTTAATGAGCCATCAAGTCGGGGCATTAAGATCTCAGTGCACTTTTATGATGCGAAAAATCTACTATAGCTGACTGTGAAATGTGGGCGGCAAAAGGCAGCTAGTTCACCCAGAGTTCCATTCACGAATGAGTATTATCAGCTGAAGTGGACGGATAAAGTCGGGATTTGTTTACACGATTATGACATCGCCGGTGTTTTAGCTTTTGGTAAACTCCAGCAAGGAGACATCTGATGGTTTCCCCGTCACGCTGATCCACAAAGCTATCCATAAATTCTGCCTCGCGACTCGCTGTCACATTCGTATCAGTATCTTGTAGCTGTATCTGGAGCAGTATCTGCATCTGTACCTTCACCTGTATCTGTACCTTCACCTGTATATGTATCTGTACCTTCACCTGAATATGTGTGTATCTGAATCTGTATCTGGAGCAGTATCTGCATCTGTACCTTCACCTGTATCTGTATCTGTATCTGTATCTCAATCTGTATCTGCAGCTGTATTGGAACCTGGATCTTTGGATCTTTGCTGGCGCATGACTCCTGTTGACTCAGCGCGACTTTCGCTGACGGATTCGTGCGCAAATATTAGCAACCAGTGCGGGCAGTAATTTACGAAAGTTGACATGGACTTATCTCCAGCAAGGGGGTTTTATAGAACTATAGCTACTATGTGGGGTGGAATCCACCTGACCAGCGCTGTGACTTGGGATAAACTTGATGTATTTGGTCAGGTCTAGACATTAGACTGCGACAGTTTGGGTTAGTTTACCTTAAATGGGGTTATATTAGCCTAGCAAAGGCAATATTAGATCTTAGCATACGTAGCACAACCACAGAACCACCTATTTGCTAATAAATCCAAACAAAATATTAAATAATTTGGAAATAAATAGAAAAATGAAAGTGACTGCCCACGAATGGAAGAAATTATAACGCTTTGCCAGCTTAATGGCCAGCCATTCGTTAGTCGTTGGTGTCTTTAATTAAGTTAGTCTCTCTTATTTATGACTGTTTTATTTGATGTGCTCAGCCATCCCTCGTAGGAAGTTGAACCCGGCAGCCATTTCGACCATCTATTGTCCTCTTCAGCTCATTAACACACGCCCATTGGGGGGCTATCCTGTTGCTTAACGGCCCACTTTGACCCCGGACGGAGAACAATGGCAATCAAAGTGGGGACAGGCAATAATCCATCACATGTCAGCAAAGTTATTTCGAGCTCGACTGTTGGCCGGCATTTTCTGGGGAAAATAGCTGGATTTTCCAGGGTCAGGCGCAGAGGTCAGCAATAGTTTAGAGTCGCATTCGGTTCAAAGTTGAGTGCTCCCAGGCAGTGGAAATAAATCTGCGTTGATTGCCCGAAACTGATGTAACCGACCTGCCGCAACATCCGAAGGATACACCGAAGGATTCGAAGGATACCCGTGATTCGTGAGACAGACAGTGCGTTAAACCCACCTCGTGTCTTTGACCGCCACTCCTGGCTGATGGATGTGCATTTAAATCCCACTTAAATCCCTTTACATCGCCCATGCAAACGATGCCCTTGTATGCAAATCGGATAATGGCTAATGGCAGCACCAACAACTGAATTACAATATAAACAGTGTGCAAGGCATTTAAGCGATTCGCAGTGGCACTTCCAATAAAAGTCCCCTGACCAGCGACTTATAATTGGGAATCGATGGCCGGCCACGAGAGAATGGAGTACTCAAGCATTTTCCTGGAAACGCATCAAGGGGAAAACTTTCCGCAGCTGCACTCAAAGAAAACCAATAAAACTTGGTCAACTCTCAAGTGACGATCGGCGTGTTTGTCAAGGTTAAAGCGAGTCCTATTGCTCCTCGAGCGGCCAAATGGTGGGGGAAACTGCAGTCAAGGTCAGGCAGGATGGGTGGCTGGTGGCTGGGTGGCTGGGTGGTCTGGACTGGTCCGGATGAGGTTGGATGGCTTTGGAGCCAAGCAAACAACGGCCCCGACAAGGCAATTACCATAATTGCGTACACATGTGCGTACAAGTCAGCTGCAGACCGATGAAATGCATGAGTACATGAGTACAGAGGCTTTGGTTCAAGGATACTCTTCACTTGGAACCGGAAGGATTGGGACTGGGAGTTGAATTGCAAATAGTTTCGCCATTAGTTGTCGTGCAATTTGCATGACCATCATGCACACAATAATGAGCTATCCGATACCCTCTAGTCAACCTGTCGAAATGGCTGTGGCATATTGACCCGTTTCCCATCCGAACTTGGCATAATTCTCAATATTTTCATTATTTGCATTATTTTCACGGCTTTCCCGCTGTTCTCGCAGCTGTTGGCCATTTGGACGGGGGCCAGTTCTCTGGCAGACCAGAAAGTATGGCTAGAACAAGACCAAGCGGACTATTTTGGGATGCCGCGGTAGCCCTTGGCAACAGCATCTAGCCAAACTGATCGAGTGACCAAAACACAAATATGGCGTCTTCCTTATCGCTCGAAGTTATTTATAGAGCAGCTGGTTCTGACTGATAACAGAAGTCAAAAATGATCAAAATTTTGCATGATTCACGGCCACAGCATTTCAAAATATTGGATAAGTGTAAAAGTGCCCTTTTTATTGCTTTGTTTTGGCTAGCAAGTCTAGCATGCTGGGCATTCAAATCAACGGGCCAACGCTGCGTATGAGTAATGTGCGCGCAGAGTTCGATAAGATTATTAATTTAAGGCGAATGTAGAGCTGTATGGTAATCTGCGTGCTTGGCAAATCTTTATGAGCCCCAAATGCTCCTCTTATGAATAACTGATATATAAATGGCATTGTAAAGGAAGTGCTTCACAACAATTTTCCGTAAGGTGCAGCCAACCAAATGCGCAATATAATTGTGAAAAATTGACAAACAAAGCGAGAATGTCAATGAAAATTTCAAACGCTTGATTTGTAGTATTCCAAATTTATAAATAGCTGGCACATTAAGCTCGCTGGGGAAACACCCGATCCCCTGGAAGTCAGCTGACCCAGAAGTAATCTTTGGCCATAAATCGAGGGCGCGGTTTTTGAGTCGAGTGCGGCTATAAAAATCACGACGTTGATTGGAGGCCTTTATCGGTCAGATAGCTCCGCCCGAATTCCTCCGTCTGGCTAATTACACGTATCTAATCTGAAGGAGTTCTTTCGCTGACTACTGGTGCGGCTAGGTTTAGCTAATTACTATATAGTCATGTCGCCCCAGTCATGCGACCAGATATTTCTGCCTCGCGTGGTGGCAATCTTTATGTGCGGCTAAAATTGGATGTTTGCTGATCCCTTAATGCCCCAAATGACGCGGCTTAGGGCTTGTTTTTGTATGTCAAGTTTTATGGGAATCATATTATAACAAAAGGGATTAGCGTTTATTGGGATACAAAATGTGTGCTATTAATAGCCGACTGTCAGTATCATTGAAAAAAAGGTTTTTGAAAGTAATGTCAGTTGCTTTCTCATAAACACATTAAAGTAGGCACTGAGTTGACTATCGCAAGTGAAATACAACTGAAACAAGATGATTGCCAAGCTGCGCAGGATTTACCCCAGTGGAAAGGCGGTTGGACAATGCTGCTCAAAGGACCTGAACAATACGGAAAAGGACTCCAATGTCAAGGTTAGCTAATTAAGTTCTCATCCCACCTAAGTGCACTAAACTCCCGCCCAGAAAAGGCGAGCTGAAGATCTCATCGCGGCAATGCAGCGCCTTCTGCTCTTCCTGACCATCTTCCTGCTGTTCCCCATGGTGATCTTCACCGCCTTCAAGTTCCTGCTAATGGAGCCGCTGTATGGGATCAGCGATAACAATGTGGCGATTGGATCTGGCGTGGCCACGGTGATTTTGATGCATGTCCTTGTCACCGGCTACATCCTGCGCCTGATCTTCGTCCAGGAGTTCTCCAGCATGGACACGCTGGAGGTGTGGGCCGAGTGGGAGGTACTGGTGCCTCCGCCCACCCAAATACATGGGCCAGTGTTCATTGTGCTGCTGCTGATGTCGTACTGCTCCCTGATCATTGGCTTTCCCATTGCCACCTTCTTTGCCCTGAAATTTGTGGTGCTCAAGAGCTTTGCCCACATCGATGCCGACATTATTTCGGCCATTTGCACCGTGGTTGCCCTCCATGCAGCAGTTGGCTTCTACATTTACCGAGCCATCTATGCAAAGAGTGCCACGGCCAAAAGCGCCAAAATATCGCTCTAAAGCATTGTATCTCTATCTTTGGCTTTCTTCAATATACCAAATGTGCATCCCAATACTTTCTTCTCTCACAATGGTTCTGTATAAACATATATTCCTGCTTTCATCATGTGGCTGACATATTTCCGTGAAAATCGTATTCGCCAATGCAAAAATCCGCCCACGCGATGATTTCTGCTTTGGCTGAAAGCAATATGAGTTGGAAACGCATTTCAGCTGTCACTTGCCCATCCCGCGATTTGGACTTCTTGACGGGCACATGTCCAGGGATTTCCTGGGGGACAAAGACTTTCCGCGTGGAAAGTTTACGGAGGTGACGAGCCCTCGACATGGCCAATGCCAACTTCAAACTGCACAACGTGATCTTATTTATTGCCCATATCGGCCGATTTTGGTCAGCTGCCATGTCTTTGTCTAAACATTTTGAAAGGCTTTGACGGCATTGAAAAGTAACAGGTGGATCTCGTGATTTAAGTGCAATAATTGTGCCAGCGACACTTCAATATGTATTATGTCTTACCACTTTTTTCCAACACATTTACAACTTGAGTAGGGAGAAGTGCTGTGGTGACAGTTCCATTTTTCATCTGCCAGTGGGAATTAGCTTAGTTTGATGGTAATGCAACGTGAGGATGAGTCTTTACTCGCATTGACACCCCTGTGATGGGCAATTAAATGCTTCGGCGGCAATAATAAATGTCGCTTTATTGCCGCATTTACGCGATGCACACACGGCGACACTAACAAGGCACAGAAATATCAAAAACAAAGGCCCGGCGAGCAATTCGCCTGTTTATTTGTTCTAGATGTAATGGCCGCGTACATTAATGTAGCAAATTGCAGCTAGAATGCTGTTGGCCCGAGCGCAGCTAGTGGACTGAGTAAACAAACAGTTGGCAGCAAGTAAACAAAGTAAACAAAGCTCAGAGCAACAGGTACTCGCCATCCAGCATCTTTCCAGGCGCATGTGCGGAAATTGCGCGGAATTAGACCGATAGATCGCTGTCTGAAATTCAAACAGCAAGCCCTAACTAAGTTTTTTTCCAATAGCTGCAATCATCTTATTGGAAGCAGATGCAAACAAATAACTAAGCAAATAACATCCTTTCAAATTCAAAGTTAAAATTTTGAAGCCGTTAGCGAGCTCCCATATTGTCAAAAAGGATAAACGATGGCATCATCGGTTGCGCCATCTAGCGAGCTTGAGGCCAACTGCAACGCATAGTCCGGTAGATGTCGCCGCCGAAAATTCAAATATAATTGTTACTTATATTAGCCACCTAAAATATAAAATGTTTAATATTATTCACCGAATCAGAATCACCTATTCCGAGAAATACCTTTCACTGCTGGTTCCATCGATCGATATACGTTCACTCACAAGTTGCCTGGTGTGAATTCCTAGTAGTAATAGCTCGAAAACAACAAGCCAAAATGTCGATGATGTTCAATGCAGAGTGGGGCTACCTGGAGGCCCTAACGCGTGGTTTCAAGAACGGCATGCTGAAGCACTCGGACTATCTAAATCTAACCCAGTGCGAGTCCCTCGAGGACGTGATGATCAGTATCCAGGGCACCGACTACGGCCTCATCTTTGGCGGCGAGAAATCAGAGCCGTGCGTGGAGGTGATCGAGCAGTGCCTGAGGGACCGCCTACTGCAGCAGTACTCCTACATACGCAGCCATTCGACGGAGCCGCTGACCACCTTCATGGAGTTTATACGTTATCCGTTCATGATCGATAACGTAGCGCTTCTGGTCGCCGGCCTAAACAACCGCCGATCCATGAAGCGTTTGCTAAAAATGTGCCATCCGCTGGGTGAATTCGATCAACTGGGCGCCATTGAAGTGGCCACTAATTCCGCGGAGCTCTTCGATGCCGTCCTGATTGACACGCCCATTTCTCGGTTCGTGCCACGCGACTTGCCCATGGAGTCCCTGCGTTACCTCGACGTGGAGATTGTGCGAGCCCATCTGTACCGCTCGTATCTGGAGACCTTCTACGCCTACTGCAGCCAACTGGGCGGCAACACCGCCAGCGTGATGACCAATCTGCTGTCCTTCGAGGCGGATCGTCGGACCATCACAATAGCAGTGAACGCTATTGACAGTGATATCAGGTACATAGCTTGATGTAATTATGAAACTCTTTCACTCGTATCGCTCATATTGCATGCAACACTCAGTGCGAAGGAGCGTCTTAAGATGTTCCCCACCTGTGGCTACCTGCCCGATATAGCCCTGGCCGCCATGTCCTCTTTGAATGACACGGATAAAATAAAGGATGTGTGCAATGTGTTCGACGGCTATGGCAAAATGTTTGACAACTTGGAGCGGGACACGGGCGGCATGATCACGCTGGAGGACCGCTTTCTGATGATGGAGGCCAAGAAGAATGTGCAGACCTTCCTGCAGCAGTACCACTTCGGGATCTTCTACTCGTTCATCAAGCTAAAACTGCTGGAGTGCCGCAATATCGTCTGGATCAGCGAGTGCATAGCGCAGCGCCAGACGGACAGAGTCTACGCCTACATACCCATACCCCTGGACTAAGAACTTATTTTCCTTTCTTCTTCGCTGTGAAATGTTCCGTTCCTTTTGGTTTTATTTCTTAAATGGTAGTGTGTGTTATAAACAATTTGCATTGAAATGTGTACACTTCTGGCAGTTTCGTTTGAATGCATTTGAATATTGGCGCCACATTTATGTTGCTTGGTTTGTGTCCCGGCTAGCCGATACTGCGGTGTGAGTATCCGCTAACCAATCGATAACAAAGTAGTCATCGGAAATAATCGATACGAATCGACTTAAAGCCATCGATGCCCGACGCAGCGATGTTTTTCGCACATCACTAACAACGATGTTCGCAAATGAAACGAACAAGCTGCTGCTTTCCTCGCAGCAGGAAAAGCCAAATCACTACACGTAAATAGATGAAAACTAATGCAATTGGTGTTTGAAGTGACGTGCAACCTCTCTGCGCACCGTTTCAGCTACCTGAAGGAGTTCCGCGTGGAGCAGTGCCAGTCGTTTTTGCAGCACAAGTGCAACCAGCATCGCCCCTTCGTCTGTTTCAATTGGCATTTTCAAAACCAGCGTCGGCGTCGTCCAGTGCGAAAACGCGATGGCACATTCAACTACAGCGCGGATAACTATTGCACCAAATACGACGAAACCACTGGCGTTTGTCCCGAGGGCGACGAGTGAGTAGTGAAATATTGTGAAATCCGTTGGCTTCCAATTTCCCGTGAATACGCTGGCCCGATTGCAGTAGTGAGGTGGAGGATGAGACAGCAATAGCGAACGACGTAGTATTTTTTTTGTTTCCTCTTTGCGCTCTCCTTCCTTCGCGATGTGTGTGTATCTCTTGTCTTCGTGTTTACAAACAAAACCATGGTGCGGGTGTGTGCAAGGCAGTGTCGGAGCGGGGCGGGGCGGTGGCCAGGGGGGCTTGGCGTTGTCTGTAAAGCGAAAAGTGAAATTGTAAGTGCGTATGTGGGCGTGCTAGTGTGTGGGGGGTGGCTGCTTGGCTGTATCTGTGTGTAGGCGAGGTCACCACCTTGCAAAAGTGAAAGTGATTCCAGCTCTATTGGGCTAGCAAATTCTTATCAGCATCCGTTTTGTGGTGGTTGTTGCTCTCTTGTCGCATGTATGTATACATGCACAGACGCGCTCACACACAAACACAGCGACGCACAGCGAACGGCATCGCTACAAGTGTGTGCGTCATTGTTTTTATTGCGTTTCGCTTTTGCGTGTTTTCTTCTTCGTTTATTTTGATTTTCCCCCGGCAGCTTCGAAATGTACAGTTATTGTGGCTGGCGAGCTTTGGAGAAAAGCTCGGCGAAGCGCAAGAGCTGGCTAAAAGTAAAACGCAATTACGCTCTGCGAGAAACAACAATAAACTCTGAGTTTATGACCCAGACTCGAGGCTCGACCTCTGACCCCGACCCTTATTCTATCTATTTATTGCTGTAGTCTTCATACAGGGTATAAACGGGTATACAAGGCGTAGAAGTTGAAAAGAATGCGGTCTCAGTTTAGAAAGTGAAAATACTAATGGAAAAATATTACTATAAAAATAATCTTATAAACTACAGTGAATTCGAACTAAAAAATAATCTAATACATATATAAAAAAAGGGGTATGTTTTAACAGAACCTTCAACTACCTTCCAATGTAGATATAACACAGGCTTATTTTGAATGGGTATCACACAGTCTGTTCACTCGAACTTGACGCCTGCTTTGACGTCACTAAACTCCCTTTCTCCCCATTTAGATGCCCCTACTTACACCGCACAGCTGGAGACACCGAAAGGCGATACCATCTGCGCTACTACAAGACATGCATGTGCGTCCACGACACCGACAGCCGAGGATACTGCGTCAAGAACGGACTACATTGCGCCTTTGCCCATGGCATGCAGGACCAGCGCCCACCGGTTTATGACATCAAAGAGCTGGAGACCCTGCAGAACGCAGAGAGCACACTGGACAGCACTAATGCTCTGAATGCCCTGGACAAGGAGCGCAATTTGATGAACGAGGATCCCAAGTGGCAGGACACCAACTACGTGCTGGCCAACTATAAGACAGAGCCCTGCAAGCGCCCACCGCGCCTATGCCGCCAAGGATACGCTTGTCCACAGTACCACAATAGCAAGGACAAACGTCGCTCGCCCAGGAAATACAAGTACAGGTGAGGTTTACCCTTGAATTCGTCTTAAAGTCAGCTCTAAACGACGTTGTCCACGGTTTCAGGTCCACTCCTTGCCCCAATGTCAAGCACGGCGAGGAATGGGGAGAGCCGGGCAATTGCGAGGCCGGCGATAACTGCCAGTACTGCCACACACGCACCGAGCAGCAGTTCCATCCGGAGATCTACAAGTCGACCAAGTGCAACGATGTCCAACAGGCCGGATACTGTCCGCGCAGCGTCTTCTGCGCCTTTGCCCATGTGGAACGTAAGTATAGAGTATTCGCTGTGCTCCACAACCAGTTGTAGGGATTTCTTTAGGGCCAAGTTCCGATTTACCAGTTCTAACTATATGTTTGTCTTCTACTCGCCTCATCAATCAACCTGCAAATCTGTTTCAAACTACCTATCGAATCCTTTGAATCCATATGCATCAATCAATGTTTGCTCGGTGTTGCTTGTCCATGTAACTACTCCCAATCAAAATTAAGCATGCTCAATTGACGAGAAGACGCAGGATCACACGGTATCCCTAAGTGAGCTTATTTCCAATGCCTATCCTGATTTAAAAGCCCAGGATGCGTTCCAAAGGGGCGATAATGTACGTATTACCGAACCAATAACACTCACCCAAATTAATGCCATCGATTTGCATCGCCTAAACTGAAACATACTACCACACATCGATTGCCGCTCTAATCCAGCTAACCATCATCAACTAACTGCTTAACACCGTCAATAAGCCATTTAATCATGTGTCCTGCTCTCCTCGATTTTTTCTTTTCGTTTTGTTCTCTTAGTTGTTGAACATTGATGGTAATAGCACCAATAAAATGTTGGTAGACGCTTTGGAAAACACAACAAATTTCAGCAAATTTTTAAGTTTCTCACGACCCCTGGACAGTCGTTGTGAGTATCCCAAAGTCCTGACAGGCGTTCGCCTAAGTTATACACTAGAATTCCGTTCTCCATGTTGGTTGTGGACGAAGAATGTCAGCGCTAAAATAGCAAATGCCTCGCCCAATTGCCTAACTGAAACTTAATAATTTTTTGTCTTCACTCTTTGCAAGCAGCTTGCTCACTGGACGATCCGCGCGAGAACTCATTGTCGGCGAGTTTGGCCAATACTAGCTTATTAACACGTTCCTCGGCGCCAATTAACATTCCTAATACGACTCTAAGTAACTCAATTAACGGTAAGTTATCAACGGCCCACGAGTGCCAACTAATTGCTCAACCTAATACCCATTCCATTTGCACAGATTTTAACTCAGGTGGCTTCGCCGTGAACATTCCCAGCAGCTCGCTCCCCTACAGTCCCACCAACCACGCCAATCTCTTCAACGTGGACGCCTTCAACTACGGCGGCTCAAACAAACTCAGCAATTCCCTTTCGGCCACCCAGAACGATAGCAGTCTCTTCTTTCCGTCGCGCATTATATCGCCTGGCTTTGGTGATGGCTTGTCGATTAGTCCTTCGGTACGGATATCCGAATTGAATACCATACGCGACGACATCAACAGCAGCTCGGTGGGAAATAGTCTGTTCGAGAACACTCTTAATACGGCCAAGAATGCGTTCAGTTTGCAATCTCTGCAGTCGCAAAACAACAGCGACCTAGGCCGCATCACCAATGAGCTGCTCACAAAGAATGCTCAAATCCACAAGTTGAACGGACGCTACGAGGACATGGCATGCAAACTAAAGATCGCGGAGCTCCATCGGGACAAGGCCAAGCAGGAGGCGCAGGAGTGGAAGGAGCGCTATGACTTAGCACAGATACAACTCAATTTGCCAGCAGAGCTTAGGGACTTGTCCATACAAAAATTGAAGCAACTGCAGGTTAGTCGCTGAATTATTTTCTCAGTTTAATGGATTTAACCTGCTCTCCTTTTAGTCAAAGCTACGCACCGATTTGGAGGAGGTCGACAAAGTATTATATTTAGAAAATGCCAAGAAGTGCATGAAGTGCGAGGAGAACAATCGCACGGTAACTCTGGAGCCGTGCAACCACCTGTCTATCTGCAATACATGCGCTGAATCGGTCACCGAGTGTCCCTACTGTCAGGTGCCAGTAATAACCACCCACACCTAGAACATGTTTTATCAGCAACAGGACCACAAGTGGCCCTTTGGCTGAAAATCGGATAGGAAAGAGGAGGATCATGGGGATCAAGACCGCGAACAGCATGACAATGTGGTACTCACAAAGCAAACTTTAGTCATAAGCAAAACGTTGAAACTTTTGATCAGTTAGGATTTGACACATGCCTACTACTTGTGCATGTGGCAAGGAATATATAATTTATATTTTCAATCTATGCAAAATATGCAAATTATCGTCATGAATATTAGCAATTACTAGGCACAAACTATTAATTGAATTAGATAGCAGCTCTAAACAAATAAGTATATCATTTTATTTTTGTTTATTTTTTCTCAAATCGAATACAGGAAAAAACATTTTAAATTGATATTTTTAATATGCTTTATGTAACCAACTCTTTTAATTTTGTTTAATATTCAATGTTTAGGCATACATATTTTCTAATTTACTGCACGAATTTGCAATGTCTCATTTATTTTTTTAATCACATATATTTGTGTATCTCTATATTTGTATTTAAATATGCTACACTTTCAGTCATATTGTACTTTTCACTAGTATTACATAAGAAATTATGGGAACTAAACCATTACAAGATGTAATTGGTTGAAGGATATGATAAATATATAATATATTAATTTTTCTAGACACTTTTAGCAATTGACTATTAACAAATTTATAGAAACCAACAAATTTAACAATATATTGTCGCATAGAAGAGCAAAAAACAACCACAAACAAACAAATACCACCAGTGATTTTATATAAGCCGATTTTCAAACTGTATTTTTTATGTATGTGTTTCAAAACTTGTGAAAGCAAACTACAACTAAAAAGCCAAAACAATGGTCATATAATCAATGCAACTGACGGGTAATCAATCTTAGTCAGTACTCAGCTTTTATTTTCTTTTTCCAAATGCACAAAAGTAATTATAGACGCTGAAACGAAAAGTAACTAAAGTGCGACAACGCTTTTTCTTATCGAAAGTTAATTTTCTTTTCTGAAAACCAAGTTGAATGTATTAAGACACTTTGCTTTTATTTAGGTTTTGGTGGGTGCAGCGTGTGTGAACCAATGCCAATACCCAGTCACAAAATTACAAAAACTTACGTATATACTCCATTAGGTTACTTTGTGATTTGAATAGTGCTTTAAGTACTTACTTTGCAGTTGACTTCAATCTTCATTTAACTTTCATAGTCTCAACTGGACGCTTCCAATTTAGTAAAAGCAAAAAATGAATCGTCAATGTCAAAACGTAATATTTAAGTCATATAAAATCAAGCATTTGGCTGATGGTACAAGAACGAATATGAATAGATATATATTTATGGAAAATTTGAACGCCGATTCGATGAGTGTGATGTAGAAAGCATAAACAATAAAAGTAACTCGATACAGCGAAATGAACAGAGTTTAATGAAAATGTTAACCAGAGTTAATGAAAACCGTCTTCAAAAACCATTGTATTTTTCTGGAAAAATAAAATTATCAAATGTAATCAATTGGACAATGTTGAATGAAACTGAAACGTGTTGTTAGCTAGTTGAGTTGAATTGATAAAGATGTAATCAAAATGAAAATGTTCTGGGAATGAATTGAATATGAATATGAAATGAAATGAACATAGGCATTTATTGGAAACAAAAGCAACACTATGAATATATACAAATGAAAAACTGAAATATATTATTAAAAAGCTAACTAGGAAAGGCAGCGCAAAGGCTCTTATCTCTGTGTGTGTTTGTACTGTGTTTTGTAGAAGCCAAATCAGCAAAGAAATACAAATAATTAATAAATATAACAATAAACAAATGTGTGTTAACTTATAAATGCTTTAATAGTTTATGATACAAGTGTACACAAAAAAAACTAAAAATCACGAGAACAAATAATGAGAAAATTGGTTTTATAATGGAGCTGTTGAGTCGCAAATCTATTGTGTGTAGTACCAAACTAAACTGAATGCATACCTCTCTCAGAATATCCTTGACTCTCATCACCGGGCACAGTTTAAAGATTTGCTAATTTACTTTATAAATCTCCACGATATACAATGAATGTGTATCGACCTACGTGTTTTTCAACCCCATTCATTCCAAAGCAACCAATGCAAAGCAATTTTACAACATGTCAAGAAATCCATTTCACGCCATCTCAACTGTGAAGAATCAAACAGAAACCAGATCGAAAAGTATATGTACGTTACATACATATATATTTATAGATGACACATGTATTTTGTATACGCTACTGTAAGAGTGATTTTTATGTGATTTTGAAACTACTTGAATATGTGATCCAGAAATATATAAAAAACAAAAAAAGAACAAAAAAATACAAATATTTATATATATAAATGCAAGCTCGCGACAGCAAACAGCAATAAAACAAATCAAATTGTAAACCAACTTGACTTAATGTACAACAACAATGACGACAAAACAAATATGTTGTACAGCTCCAGCTCCATTTAGAAAACAAAAGGCAAGAGAAGAAGGATTTTGGTAGTTGAAGAGATATGGACACACGTAGAATACTTAACAAATTGTCAAATGAACACGTAGACCAGAAAAACATAAAAATCGTAATGACTAAAAAAAAAAAAAAAACAAGTAAATAAATGTCTAAAATATCAAATTGAATTAGTAGCTAGCTTATAGGGTTCTCAAGTGAAAATTTACAAGAGGAAATACAAACGAGTAACAAAAGCAAAGGCAATTACTTCTCTAGCTCTAGAACTAAGACCTAATATTTGCTACCAATTGTTTCAACTAGTTAATTCATAATAAATTAACAAATTGTAGAAAACTGTAACTGAAGGTTTAACAAGCATAGCAACCAAAAAAGAAAAACATGAAAACTCTGAACACCGAACAGGAATTTTAAATATGAAATCGCGGAGACCGAGCAATTTGCAATCGAAAGTACTGTCTAGTATTTTAAACTTGTCTACAACAATTATGAAACAAATGGATATATGCAGTTTTATGCGAACCAAGCCCACACAGACACACACAATAAGTGAAAATCGATGAACTAAGTGGAATCAATATAAATGAGTATATTTTTTTTCTAGAATACTACAAATGTGTGTCAAGATCTAAATGAAATAAGCAGAATTTGAAACTTTTACTAGAAATAACCGCTGAACTAGATTCGAACAAATTCATCAGCTCTTTATAAGTTAACTTACAACTAGCCTAGGCTATAGGAAATATGACAAATATATTAATCTATATAGAATATCTATGAAAATTGTATATCTAATTTGCGGTTCATGTCTCGGCTAAATCTCACTTCAGAACGAATCAGTTTAATATCTTTTCTTTGTTTACCCCGTTTATATAGGGATTGTCGAATGATATTAATGCCGATGCACCGATATTGATCGGATGCAATAAAGCTCTTGAGCTCTTGACTCATACAGTTTCTTATCGGGGATTTATTGGCGCGGAATCGCGGTCATAGCCATTAAATTTATCACTTGCAGTGTAAATTAAAGTACATCTCCTTTGATATTATAAAACTTAAAGACCAAAAACAATATTTGCTTTCAATATTTCCTTTTTGTAGTGACTCGCTTTATTTCCTCGCCCCAACGGGCAATGTTGTGTGTTATTGCTAAAGTTATTGTCAAGAGTGAATAAGTATATGTATTTAGAGAGAGACAGAATCAAGAAATTAGTATTGTAATGTTTAAAATGAAAAAAGATACAAACAATAGACTCAGATTCAAAAACACCCTTCCACATTGTAGAGAATGCAACCTTAACAAATCAATTATTGAACTAGTTATGCCCACAGAGGATATGAATACAAATATTTAAATATTTATATACACATATTACGTATTACCTATGGATAGCATTATCAAATTATTATCAAGCCAAGGCAAATTGTGTAGCAATTTAGTTATGTATTTCGAAATCGAGAACAAATGTTTGTCCAAGGCGACCACAAAAGCAACAAAAGCATCTGCCTCAATCCGAATATACACACCTCTATATATTTACGAACCTAAGTGTTGGCAATAATCGAGCGGACAGCAGGAGTTTCTATATAGGCATTTGCTATGGAGAGTTACTACTATGTAAACTATGCAATTAACAAATTGATAAATACAAATTACTATTTAAAAGAATGATTAATAAAACCGTGTTTAAAGCAAGCTTCCCCCTCTTCGACTTCCTTTCCTAATTTGCTGATGAGAATGCCGCAATTTTTGCCCAGTTCTCTTCCCATTTTTTGTTTTTTCGTTTTTTTGTTTTGCAGTCTGCAGACAAGACAAAGCCAAGGCGCTTGGTTCCCATGCGTGATTTCAATCTGGCCCAGCCACACAACCACAACAAAGAGCAGCAGAGAAAAGGGCAATATAAAAGGTAAAGGCAGCGCAACATCGGCATCAGCAGCACAAAACTCGTAAGAATTTTAAAATGCACGATAATCGTTCAGTGATAGCTAAGCAAGCCGACAATGCCCGGCTGCCTGCCTGCCCTGCCCTTGCACTGATAAAAAATCACTTCCCAATTCGAATTCATTCAGCTCTTCTATAAAAAGATGTATACTAAAAACCCTGCTTTCGGAATTAATAAGTTTTTTTTTGTTATATACGCTTATATCTTCAGAAGTTTTATTATACATTTTATCAACAAATATTATTTTATCAGCAGATTAGTTAATCCATGCATTGTGGGTGGTCTCCCCTTACAGATTCATTTTGTCAGTGCATCATCTCATCTCTGCCACTGCCACTTTAACCTGAGCCACCGAGGTCCAGGGAGCCAGTTTGAAACAAGGTAGGATGCTGCCGTTGCCGTTGCTGTTGCTGTTGCTGCGATATCGCCGCGTTCGCGCGTTAAACACAAGCGCAACAATTTTTATTCTGTCAGCGAACGCGTGCCTGTATTTGTGTGGTCCCGGCCTCAAACTGGACTGGACCGTGGCTCCATGGGCTCCTGCTGCCTGCCATCCTTACCATTCCTACCACCTCCACCTCCATCTCCTTCCTCTGCCTTCTGATCTTGCGTGGCGATCTCACGCGCTTGCGCCTGCGCCGAGAAGCATTGTGAAGGAGCACACTGCAGTGCAAACTGGCGGGCATATCGGTGGATGTGGAGATGGTGACCCAACTTGGCTGGTAGCTGGCTGGCTTATAAATAGGTTTTATGAGCGCAAAAGTGTTGCCATTTTTCATGCTGGCAAATCCATGCCACCGACCCGCCGCCACCATTCCACCCAACTATTTTTAGATGGACATTTACAAGGGCGGCCCGGGGAGGAGATCTGCATCAGCGTCAGGCTTTCGCCTCGATCTCGATTCGTGTCCATGTTCTGCAGTGTTTCGCACGCTGCACGCTACACGCATTTCCACTCGAAACTTGTTCTCTTGCCGCCCTGCTGCCATCGCTTCCCCCGCCGTGATTTGTAACACGATACATTTCGCCGCCGCCGACCGGAGGAGTAAGGGTGAAGTGTAGTGTATATATAGGACCTACGATCCGATCCAATCCGATCCGATCCCCGCTGCTTCTAATGCATTTTTCAGCTCTTTTGCATCGCGACTGGATCCGAGATCAGCTCATTAGGCATTTTTAATTTGACATCGCGCGCAATTTATGTGGGAATTTCACGGCGTGTACTTTGACTCATCCAAAAGAGTCAAAACGAAACGAAACGAAACGAAAGACTTAGGCAGCGAACTTGGCGCGCCGAGCTCTGCTCAAAAATCAATTTTCAATTTGCTGCAGTTCGTCGGGATGGTGTGCGTTGGAAAGGGGGAAAAGGCACCGGACGAGACGGAATGGGGCTCGTGTGACTACCTCTGGGCCCGGACTGACTGACTGCCTGCCGTCCTGCCTGCAACATCCGCAGATCAAAGCCAAGCGATGGAGTGCGCAAGGCGACCCCAAAATCGAATGACAAGGAGGCTGGCTTGTTAGTGGGACAACGAAGCGATGGACACCCTGCGAAAATGTAGTTCGTGTGTTAATTTAATATTATTCATGCTTATGTATTACCCTAGCCAAAGTAGTAGTAAACTAAATAATCAATTCTTACATCACGCAGCTAAAGAAGATCTTGGCTTACGAACCAACACACCAAAGTGTGCATACCACTTGAATAGGGTATCGAAAATCTATTTAACCGGCACAGGCGTTGACGTTGATGTTGGCCCCAACTTAACGAAGTGTTGCTCGCCGGTCCCCGCCCTCCGACCCTCCCTTTAACCCCTGGCTGCCGGCGGTCTCTGCATTCCGCGTGCGGTTTTTGTGGCCGGGCGGCATTTGGCCACGAGCGGCGCATAACAAAAAGGGAGTACTGGATGGCTGGCTGGTTGGCTGGCTGGCTGGCTGGTTAGTGTTGGCTGGCTGTATTGGGATTTCGAAATTGAAAACCCTGCGAAGATAAAAATGTGCAATTTTCTAAGACCCTAAAAGCACTTGAGGTGGAGTAGCTTTCCGATGTTTCACCTATGATGGTGTTTTACGCGCTGTTGCTGGTCATCAACTTTCCATAATCGGCGCGCAGACAACAAACAACTTGAGCCTTCGACGCGGCCCGCCCGCTGTGTCCGTCCACAACAACAACAACAGCCACAACAGTAACAACAACAAGAGCAACAAGCGCCACTTTGCTGTCAATTCAAAATGATAAAGCAAACAAATATTAACCCACTCCAAGCGGACGCATGTGGCTGCCGTCTCATGGCACTTTCTGACAGCCCAGCGACACTCGAGCCGTTCCGATCCGATCCGAACCGAACCGATCCCATCCCGGGATCTTTCACTGAGACTGGAACTCTGGGACTGTGGGAATGTGCCTCGGCCGGCGTCGCCGTCGTTTCCCCACATTCAGAAAGACACTCGCCTTGCCACGGCTTAAATGCTGTTCCAGGCCATAATGACTTTTAATTTTTATGGCACTGGCTGCCGAGGATGCCGATGCAGCAACAGCAGCCGCAGAGCTTAAGTCGCATATAATTCAAGTCCATCAACGCATGCGCTTCACTTGACCACCGCCATGATACACATTTAAATACGAGAGCCCATTCCCCTCAAGAAAATCCCCCTTGAACTGTTGGGCTGTCGCCTGCACGGCCACTTGAGAGGGCATCCATGTGACTCGTCTGCGTCTGGACTGAATCTATGCAGCTCCTCCAACTCCGCACTCCTCGAATGTGGATCTCCAGATGCTTGGTGCTCGATGCTCGATGCTCGATGTTTGAGAGGGCAACAACGGCTCAGCGTTGTTTAATATTTTAAGTAAGTGCTGCCGCTTGGTTTGTGGTGAGCATGGATGAAGCTCGATGGGATTGCTATTCCTTCTATGATGCAGTCCAATTTGTTAGGAATGAATGAGGAGTGCGGGCTCTTAGGTCGAAGTGGGTTATACCTTTGAAAAACAAGTACTTTACTTTCTATTAAGTAGTCCTGGAATTATATAGTATTAGTATTTCACTTATTTATTTATTTGTTGTAAGAGTTAAAATTAGTTGGATCATTACAATGTTTGATATTTCTGTAGTTTTATAGAAAAAATGATTACCGTATGGCTTATATTTTATTCCCAGAAAATTATGCCAGTTATCACAGTTTAATTTTTCCACCGAATAAGTGGCATATGTTTCCATATCTGCCGACATTTGATTTGTGTACTGATTTGGCAGGAACATTCCGCACATTTAGCTGCATTTCTGTGGTTTGTCTCGTGCAAAAACTGTTGGCCAAATACGCGCCGCATGTGGCCGAAATGCCTTTCCTGTTCAGCCCGCCTTTGGGCCAACGGGCACTGCTTACTCACCGTGTTCTCGACTGCTCGGCCGTTCGACTGCTGTTTAAACCGCATCGATCGCTGCCAGCTGATAGCACAATGGACCCACTGCACAATGATAACTATGCCGCTTACGACTTTTTGACTCTCGTGCCGGTCAGGATCAAAAGGAGCCCGGTTGACAAATGTTTGTATACACGCACACACTGAGACACTTGGGATGAGACCCTTTTTATGCCCAGTTACTTGGACTCTGGCTGTGAATGTTTATGTTACAAGCCCCCGGCCCTTGCCCCTGCCCCTTTCTTTTTTGCTCCTGGACTGAAACCATTCAGTGGCTGTTCGTGCCTTTGTGGTGGCAAATTCCCCGGAATACCGGAGGCACATCCATCCATTTGCCTAATTTCTATCTCGGCAGCAATTCCCCAATGGCATTTCACTTAGATTTATGTGAATTAAACATAGCCACTTCCCCCTCCCTTCGCTCCACGTCCCAATCACAATCCCAATCCCTGGTAGCCGTAAATGTCAACATCCATTAGAGACCTCAAACCGTTAGTGGCATTTGTCGCACGCTATGAGGCAGGCCGAAAGCAACCGCCGCAGTCACAACACAAGAGTCCCACAACTCGCAGCATGATTGAGTGCCTGCTTCTCGGAATCAAATCGAAATCAGCATTGACTTGATATGAGAACTGTGGCTGTTTCGATCGTTGTTAGTTTGCTGATGATGCTACGAACCATTTTAGCCGCCATTAACATCTGGCCATAAACAATATTAATATTCTCGTAAATATTAGTTGCTATCAGTTATTAAATTACCGCGACCTTCACAGGAGATAGCCGAGCAAACCGGTGCGACGGGCCAAAGCACGCGTTATGGCCATTATTATTTGTTAATTATGTGGCCGCTCATGGTTCTCTCTAATGCCAGAGCCGCGCGACTTGTGCAGCCAAAACAAAAGACTTTGGCAACAAACTTGCCAGCAGCCACAGCTAGCTCAGTGATCATAAAGCACTTCCAAAATTCAATGAACCCCAAGCGAGAGCGGCATAGTTGTGGAGTCGCAATCGAAATTGGTTTTTGAGATACTCTATACAACAAAAATTCAGTTTGCTTTTCAGAAACGAAACTACTTTCCCTATACTTGCCAATTCGCTTACATCAAAGTACCTTACATTACTTTAAGTCAAGCTGGTCGTTTTTCATTTTAAATTAATAAGTAACAATATGCCTTTTGCCCCTTCATTCACCCAAAACCACATTACATAAGCCATATACCCACACCCCGGGAAAGCGCATTAAAAAAGCAACAAAAATTCAAGTTTCATATCGAAGTTTTATGATCGAAACACCAACGAAAAGTAAGAGAAACAAAAAGAGCAAATCAGCCGCAACCCATGGCGTTGGTGGGAATGGTGGGATCCAAGCCGAAAATCAGCCGCAGACCAGCAGGAAGGGATCGACGAGGACGTGGAGTTGGAGGTAGCGGTGGAGGTGGAGACGATCCGGACGAGGCAGCAGCAGCCATGTTAACAACTTCCATTAAAAGAAATTAAAAGCAGACGAAGACGCCGTTGGATGCGGACGCGCCATGGCGCACAGAAAATGGCGTTCCATCTGCTCTTTGGCATCTGTCCATGGATTCCATGCCAGGTTGGAGCAAGGGAGCTGCTTGCTGGGCTCTCGGGCATCCAGTTGGCCAACGAATGGTCTGGATATTTCCGGTACGTCTATGTGGAAAATATTAATCTTAACTTGATAGATGAGTAATGCAAATGCTACCTCTTTTGATAGTTGATGGGATAGTTCCAGCAAATTTCTCCAATGTTCTCTAAAAGTTGTATTTAATGTTACTTGTAAGTATCCTATTAATAAATGGTGTGAGTAGTATGATAGCCTAAGGATTTCATTTTAGAGAGATTTTTATAAATGTCTGATATAAAAAGAAATCGATAAATACTCATATAAAAAACTAAATTTTTATGGGCTGTTTAAAAGCAATATTTTTTGTATCTACTATGCATTTTTCCCGAGCAGCATTACAGGTTGCCATTAAAATTCAATTTCGGCATATAACTGTCGACCCATTAATATTCACATAAATCAATGCTGGGCCAAATCTAATTACAGAAACTAATCTGTGGCTTTTTATCTCGAAGGGCCTGGAAAGGCATTTTTGTTAGTTTATTTATTTAGTGCTTTTGTTTTTTTTTTTAGCTCTTTTCTGAATTTTTTGTGAGCAGTTTCGGCTAAGAGCGCGATCTATATGATCGTGATTATGAGGCCCGCTGGCCGTCTCGCTTGCTCCACGGTCCGCGATGCCATTTATTCATGCTCATTAAGTGCTGGAGCGATTGTTGTCTGCCCATGGGCCCGGGATGGTCTTCGCTACACAATCTGTAGCTGGCTTGTTCACGGTGTGTTGTGTGTTCATTCACAAATGAGCGCCTTAAGCAGCTCCGCCCCACAGATACAGATACAGCTACAGCTACAGCTACAGATGCAGATGCTGAGGCCCAAAGACACATACGGCCTTTTAAACTCACACAGACGCACACAGCGGCGAACGTAATGAGTTCGGGGCGCACACAAAGAAGCCAGAAATTTATGTGGCAGCCACATAGACTCTCGCACACAGCCACACACACACACAGACGCACACACATTCGGATGCCCCCAACATCCAAGACTCGTATATCCAATACCCCCTCTACTTCAGCTTCTTCATCTTTAATTTGGTTCCGTGTATCTTGTTGATGGCGTTTTGCCTTCTCTTATATCTTTTGCCGCCACGACCAGCTATTGAATGTATTTCTTCTGTATTTCTCCTCTTTCGATTCGTCGTTTTTGTTCGATTCATTTCAGTTTTTGTCGAAATTATGCTATGCTTTGCATTCCAGAGCGTTACCCCAGAAGAATAATGATATGCCCCCCGCCTGGAATCCGTTAAATAGGCAGGTGCACCTTGGCCCTTGGTTCTTCCCTGTCCAAAAGTGACAATTTCTTGGGCACACATTGACGGGCGTATTCCACGATTCGCGCTTGCCAAGTGACAGTGCAAATAGACCTGGTGCAACCGCAAAAAAAAGGTCTGGAAAATACCGAAAACAAAAGATTAACGCTTGCCACAGATTCAAGTTCTGGATGTGCGAGAAAGCTATACTCAAATTGGAGATTTCCCAGCACGGGGAATTTTCAATTAGCAAAAGTCAACAGAGATTGAGCACTCGAAATTTATTGATCTACAGAGAGCGGCATCAAATCGCAACTTAGTTGTTTGCTGGGCATAAATAAGAGGTACCTAATTGCAAATTGTATTTGCCAAAATCGTTATCGGTTTTTGCAATATATATAGACATATTTGCGATTATTGACATGGCGTCGAACGGAACCTCCGGCGGAGATTAATTTCCTTCGTTAAATTACCCAGCAATTTGTAGGTCCTAAGGCGATATCTAATCGGAACATGGTCGCTTCCTGAGGGGTATTTCACTGACTCACTGAGTGACATAAGCTTGGAGCCTTTGGTGATCACTACTCGTACTTTAGTTAAAGCACTTTTTCCGCTCAGTGAAGATTGCCAAACGGAAGCAGCATTGAACCCATATGTACTCCACATACCACACCATATACAATATATATGTATATATATACAAGGCTGCCCAGGAGTCACACAATACACAAAAAACCGGAACATTATTAATTTACAAGCAATAAAGCGAAACGAACAACAAAACGAAGAAAGGCAGCGGAAAAAAGTGAACAATGAGTGCCGGAGATGGCCGAGATGGCCGAGATGGAGGAGTTGCAGGGCCAGCAGCGGCTAACAAGCCACAAGAGTCGAGTAGTGCAAGTGTTAAGAGAAATTGCAGTTGCAGTCGAGGATGCTGCAGCCCAACTCCGGCAACAAACGCACACCAGCACATCCAATTGGCAACAGGCACACACTTTCATCCATGGCCGTAATGGACCACACCACTCCATACCCTTGCCATCCAACATCTGTTGCCAACATCGCTTGTACATAAGCGCCGAAGACACGGCCACTAACACTTGCAAGCCAGTCGTGTGAGTATGCTGCATCATCTGGTTGTCCCGCTCCCACTTCCCTCTCGGCAAGGCAGCATAAAAATGAACACCACACACGATCGATCGTCGAGTGGCACACACACACACCATCGCAACTGGGAATGAACGCGACCGAGTAGTGTGTGTGTATGAGCTCAAAAGGCCTAGGGTTCTTGAAAGCACCCTCGTACTCGCACTCGCACTCATACTCGCACTCGTATTCGCTGCCGCCTCGTACTCGCACTGGAACACTCTGCGCGCACGATACTCCGCTCGGAAATGTCATTTGTCAATCACAGTGCGAGCGCAACGGTTGTCCGATCCGAGAGCTAACTGCCAGTTCAGCGGAGAACAGTTAAGACCGTAAGACCGTAGGAGCTGCGATTCCGCCGACTCAGTTGTTCGATTTAGCCAGGTTAAATCTAATTGATACCATAAATCCAAATAACAAACGTGTCGCCAAAAAAGCGTGTTTGTGTGCCAAAAGTGAAGTGCTAAATAACCAAAAAAGAAAAAAATAATAAATAAATAAATAAGGAAATACAAATCCAATCAAGAGAAACAGCAAGCAACGAGTCTTCGATAAATCATGGATAACACCAGCTCAGTGCCTTGGGCCAGTGCCGCCAGTGTCACCTGTCTCTCCCTGGACGCCAAATGCCACAGTTCCAGCGCCAAATCCGCAGCGAGCTCCATTTCCGCAAGCCCAGAAACGCAAGCGATGCGCCACATTGCGCATACGCAGCGTTGCCTCAGCAGGCTCACCTCTCTGGTGGCCCTGCTGCTGATCGTCTTGCCGATGACCTTCAGCCCGGCCCACAGCTGCGGTCCTGGCCGAGGACTGGGCCGTCACAGGGCGCGCAACCTGTACCCGCTGGTCCTCAAGCAGACCATTCCCAATCTATCCGAGTACACGAACAGCGCCTCCGGCCCACTGGAGGGTGTGATCCGTCGGGACTCGCCCAAATTCAAGGACCTCGTGCCCAACTACAACAGGGACATCCTTTTCCGCGACGAGGAAGGCACCGGAGCGGATCGTTTGATGAGCAAGGTAAGGAAAAACCCGGTTCCGTATACTAGTGTTGAAATTTGTAATACATCATTTAGTAAGTTGTGCTTATCGGAAATATTGTGTCAAAGTGACTGGGCAATTATATGGGAAGTCCAAATTATTGACTGACTAATCTAGTCATGATTAATCAAATGTTACTTTAAAATGTTCAACATTAAACTTTTATGCCAACATTAAGTAAAAACCCACAAGCTAGAGCAAAATAAATGACTAATTGTATGGAAAATCATAGCTCTACCAAATAGAACTAATATTGCTTGAACTGTAAACCATTATTTGATATGGGTATTACTGTGTGATAGAAGTAAGCCCACTTTGATATAGGAACACAATGAAGCGAGTGTTAAATCTGTCGTAGGGAAGTCAAACATAAATAGGATGACATTTTATTGCTGATATCGTTCCGAACTCGTCTTCTATATCAGTTAGCTGAGTTGGCTAATTCCGTGGCTAGGCTAATTCCGTGCTTATTGCGCACTGCACTCACATTTTGCCAATCGTGGGCGCAAATTCAATTGTCAAATTAGCGATCGCCAATCACTGGTGCTCCATAGAGCCTATCTACCGATCGCCCGATGGCACGAGATTGCGGCACTCAGTTCCCATTGATAAACGCTACGTGGCGGAAAAGTGCCCAATCATTCACTTTGGTGGGCATTGGGTATTTTAGCAACTTTATGGTGGCGGTGGCCCATAAAACAGGGCTGAAATATCGCATTAGTTTTGAGCATTGGCCATTTATATGGTTAATTATGCATCTTATCGTCGCACTGCACTTGTGTCGCAAGTGCAAAAAAACAGGAAGCCCGATACTCGACGAATGCTAGATAGCGTCTGAATTCCATCGCACTAAGCCATAAAGCTGCAAAAAGCGGCCCGAAATCCAAACAAACTGGCCGCGTTCAACAACCTCGAGCCCAATCGATCCCCGGATCATCATTGCAAATACATAGTTTACACAACATTGTGTACGCTCCACAAATGCGTTTCCGTTTTCGCGCTGAACAGCAAACAGGGTATCGAATGCAGGGGATTACGAGTCCCGGTATTTATCAGGTTTTACTCGGCCACCCCGCCGCCCCCCTGTCCGCGCCCCAAAAGTGGAGGCACGCGAGCATTTGCCGCTTATCGCCGGCGATTGTCTGATAAGCGGACTGCAGCCAAGTAGCCTGTTCGCCAATATCCCCCAGATAGTGACTCCGTATTTGCCAACATGTGTAGCTACACGCTGACACTGAAAGAAAATACGCACAATACATCCAAAAGCACAAGATGTATGTCAATCTACCAGTTAGTAACCTCTCACTTATTGTCTATATATTATAGACTTACTATATGCCTTAAAATGTAGGCATTTCTTTAGGTGCTAGTACTTATAGGTTGGTTGTTGCGCTATATCGGTGCCGGCAAAATGTGTGTTAAGACACCAGCTAAGGCGAAGAATAGCAGTATCTTATCGCCACTGGAAGAGGCAGGGGCAGTGAAAGTGGAGTGACCATCCGTTTGGGGGGAGCGTGGTTGGGTTTCAAAGTGCGAAACAGCTAAAACAAGTGCTCAATTTAAGCACCAGCGACAGCATTTCCAATTAGCCCACGGTGAGGGTGGGAGGGGGGCTGCATTGCGGCCAGAAGTCGGCACCACACAGTCAAGCCCCCCTAAGAGGGTCGACATTGAAACTGCTGATATACATATAATCGGCACGCTTCCCATGGGCGCACCAGCTTATCTGCGTGTTACTTTAATGAAGCTTTAAGTGCCGAGGTGTAAAAATAGCCTTGTTATTGATTAGCGCCATAAACGAGCTATTAGGCTTTTATGGCGGACTTCCATTTTCCTTGGCCGATTTGGTTCTATTTGGTTCTATTGAACAACAGACCAATAATCAGAATTGTGGGAAGACAGATTACGCCTGCCACCCGGCTAATATAGTTGATTTAAGACTATAGTATAGCACACACAAGTGTTACAATGGCTTTCAATTCGTTGATTTATTAGTCAGTGGTTGGTGTTTCGCAGAATCGCGTTGGATCTTTAAAATCTGGTTTTACTGTACTGCAAGGTATAATCGTATTAGCGAAACAGTTGCGCGGCGGCTAGAGTTTCACTTGGAAACTTATCCCAAACAGCATTTGGCAACTGCCACGCGCCCATCGGGGGATTCTAAATGGTTGCAGCCATTTCAGATGTTACCTTGAATTTGATATGCAATCAAAAGGTATCGCAGCCTTTCCAGAAACTGGCGAACAATTAACAGTTGCTCGCACGGCAGCACAATCGCAGTGACACCGAAGGCCAAGGTCCTTCGAGCGATTGACTAAATGGCCAAGGACATCGGCGCACATAAAATCCTGTTGTTCACGGGACAAATATTTACAACGGCAACTGTTCCGCTACCGAAGTCGCATCTCCAGTGACATTGAGATCTTTTCCCATTCCTCAAGGAGCTGCAAGGAGTACCATGGAGTACCAGCAGAGCGCAACTAAAATGCATTTTATGTGGATTCGGATCTGGCTATCAGAGCGAGTGACTTACTGGCCGCTGTGCGTGAATTTGTGAATTTCGGCTGGTAAACAATTCGCTGTGGCCATTTAAAACGCTCACCGGACGGACTGCTAACTGCGTGGCCCTGACTGTGGGTGTGCGTTGCACTATTCTCGGTTGTTGCATAAACAAATTGCGAATTGTCAGCAGTCGCGGTATACAATACAGCGCCTAACCGAAGCGAACAAATGCATCGTAAAGTGCTGGAGCTTATGACAAGTCATTGGCTCAGGTAATTACGGCAGAATGTGTCTGGGGCAACACTTTTCAGTCTTGGCAGCCCTTTCAGCGCTGAACAGATGTATCTGTGGTATCCGAAGCTGAATCTTGAATGCCACGGGATTAGACGAGCAGCAGAGCAGCAGAAACCGCAGCGGACAGATGAATATGGATGTGGACAAAAGAATGCGTCAAAAGCCGCAGCATAAGTTCTAAAATTTCATAAATTGTAGCAACAATGGGGCTGAGGGCAAAGCCAATGGGTAATCCGATATGATTATTGACATGCATGCAGCAGTGCCAGTCCTCAAAGTCCAAACCCCAGTTCCTCACTCCCTGATCTTCCAGACATGCACATCAACTCAACATCACCATCACCATCAAATCAACTCCACTCAAATCAAATCAAAGTAAGCCCTTAGCCGAGCCATTCTAATAGAGCATTATGACTCAAAATTGATCCTATTATGACAAAATGAAAAAGGCCTAAGGAAAAAAAGAAAGACTGAATCGCTGGGTGGGATGATGTCAGAGCTTCAGTTTCATTTTCCCTTTGCCAAAAGTAAAAAGGAACTCAAATCAAATCACGTCAAACGCTGCGATAAGCAAACATCAGCCAATTTCGTGGGAACATTCCTGCGGCCAACAAAGTAATCAAACTTTCAAACTTATCAAACAAACATCAGTCAGCCAAAGTGGACAAATCGTCTCTGCGAGAAGAGCCCCCATATAACGCCGTACATATAGCCTCGTATATAGGCGATGCGGATTGGCACTGTTTGTTTTGCTTTTGTGCGAGATGCTTTTATATTATTATTATTAATCAATTTGATACTTTTACGAGGGCACTCAGGCGCGAATGTTCAAGGATTTGTTGCCCCAAAATGCCATCGATATTTGCCTTTTCGATCTCTGGCTTTTGCTTTATTTGCATAAAACTTTTATGAACTTGCGCCGGGAGAGAAGAAGATCGCGATCAGAGATCGCGTCGCGGCTATCACATTACTGCTGGGCGAGTGACTCACATTTCACATGGCTCCTCGGCTGCTCCGCTTCCATTCCTGCAAGTCATTTTGGAACGGGCATCCGGAGATCCGGGGATCGGGAGATCGGG